ACAGGGCTTAGACTAGACACCTTCTCCCAAGCAGGGCGCAAAACACTTGCTTTTAGAAAATCAATTATTGAATATCATGACGTGTTACTATAGTCACGTGACTTCCGCTTTCGTAACAGTTTCATAAAAGTTTAAAATCATAAGAAAAAGGACGTCTCAGCTCTAAACGTTGTGAACATTAAAACATCTATTTAATGTTAAACATGTGAACATTTCAGTACATTAGCTTAAACTTGGATGTTGAAAAATTTAGCACTTGAGATGAAAAGTGATTTCATTGTATGGTAATTTTCATAATAATCTTCAAAGAGGAAGCAGTGATTACTTTAGGACCAGTTGTGTGCATATAAATACTTGGTATTTCACTGTCATGAAGAACTGCACAAATACCATCCCATGTTATGTGGTATTCTCAGGCAAACCTGATGAGAACAAAAACCTTGTCGAAACGTTGTGCATTTGATGTTATGTTAAGCTTATATTAAAGTTTTTCTTCATTACCCATTCAAGCCGTCTCCAACCATTATTAGAATAAAGGGAGATTCAATTAGAAAATATTATGTAAAGTAATTCAGAATTCTCTAAACCTGACTGAGTTCGTGAAAGAAAGACACTGGACACAAATATGCAAGCAAACAGAATGCAGTTTTTATTCACTAACATAAACAACAGTGTGTGAATTTATTCAGCACCATGGACAGTCGCCTTTAATGATGACATATATCTCTAAGTAGAAGATAAATCTCTATATCTCTTTAAAGGTTAAAGTTGTAGTTAAGTCTAAACTCTTAAAATCTGTATAAGTTCAAAAGCTGTTCCGGTCTGAGAAAACAGCACGTTAAATATTTAAAACTGCATATCCTCATATTTTCCCAGGGCAACTTGTACTATTCACGTAACTGTTGATCATTCTCATTGAAACGTAAAAGAAGTTGTAGCCTTTAGACATCACCTGAATTACCAGTGTCTATTTTCACACTCATTATGTTCAGCTTTGCAGAAACCTTACTATCGGGAAAACAAAGGTGATACCTCAGGCGAATGAGGCAGAACAATAGATAGCAAGAGCGAAATTAACTTAATAACTTTATTGACTGACATGTCATGTGAAAACCTCGCATGTACCTAAATACATGTATTTTTGTGAACATTTGCGTATTAATATAATGGGTAATAAACACATAGCATGCATGTATACCACAGCTACATCTATGTAAAGATTTAGTTTTTCACTCCAGTGGTAATTCCTTGATTGTAGTTTTTGTTTAACTGACAGATAATTTACAAAACATCATATAGTTTAAATGTCATTAACCTGATTTTCTACATAATATTTAAAGTTGCATCTTGGAATTTATTTTATTTATATGACTGCACATTTGACACTAAGTTTAGATAATGATTCTCATTATTAAAAAATTCAGAGCCGAACATACTCACCACTTTCAGCCGTGAGGGTGTTATAATGTGACGATAAATCCCACTAATCGTTATTAAGAGTAACCAAATAATTGGCGGTGGATGGTGTTGACTTGCTGCCTTCCTTCTAGGATATCACTTTAAAATTAGAGACAGCTAGTGCAGGTAGCCTTCGAGTAGCTTTGCGCGAAATTCATCAAACAAACAAGCTCATCATTAATGAGGCCCAGCATGGCCAGGTGGTTAGGGCGCTCGACTCGCAATCTGCGGGTTCGAATCCCCGTCCCACCAAACATGCTCGCCCTTTCTACCGTTGGAGCGTTATAATGTGACGGTCAATCCCACTATTCGTTGGTAAAAGAGTAGCTAAAAAAAGTAGTAAAAGACTAGTTGCCTTCACTGCTAAATTAGGGACGGCTAGCGCAGATAGCCCTCGTGTAGCTTTGCGCAAATTCAAACCAAACTGATCGTTAGAATGCTACAAACTTGTGCATCAGTGATTTTATATAAAATTTATTCGAAACCTAGCAAATCTTTCGTTAACGTAAAATTTGATAACATTACAATAACGTATTTCTTCCGCATTTTGTATCTATAATATGTATTAGTTCAAGAGATACTATTCAAGAAATAAGGAAACAACCAATGTCAATCTAATTTAGCTTCGTTTATGTAACTTCGCACGAGTATAAATTTGTGAACTTTTGGAACATTTGGTTTCCCGTGAAATGTCGATTGCTTTTTGTCAGCAAAGTTGGACAGAATATTGTTTTAAAATTTTAAGTTATATATCAGAGTGAGATTGCTAAACTTGAACTCCATTAGAACCATTTTTATTTTTATTTTATATTCATCTACCTCACTGAAACCTGTATAATTTTACAATATCATGGTCGTGTTAGTGGATGTGGAGATTGGTTTAGCTACCCTAGTAATTTGGTTTGGAAATAAAATAACTTTAAAGAAAGAAAATTTAAAATTGTATTGGTCTTAATGCCAGTTATTATAGTAATACTAATAGGTAAGTTCGAATAGAGTGTTATGTTTTATAGCATTTTTGTTTTGCAAAGTTTCGCTTTGTTTTCTTACAGTTCGCTTAGAGTGTAAATTGCAATGATAAAAAGGCCAGAACTTATTCACTGTAAATTTGTGTATTATAAATTTCACATATATAAAGTATCCTTTCTTTATTAAAATTGCAATTTTAAGTTTAGATTAACCTTTTGTCTTTAGACTTAGAAGTGAGAATGTAGAACTAGAATTTTAACGTAAGTTTCAGCCCAAATGAAAATGTTTTTTCTCACTATGTTAATTTTCACGGCTGCTTGCAAATTATATATACAAACTGTGTTTTCAATGAAAAAATTAGATACAAAGGTATTGTAGTAAGCTACTTGGCCAAGTGACTGATTTGATTAATCTGATGATTTAGGCCTGTATGCGTAATAAAATGTGAATTCTTTATAAAAAACAAAAAATACAAGTCAGAAGTAAAGTGACCGGATTTGCTGGAGTCCAGAGTGGTACACCTAACTGATGAATAACAAATTGGTTGCATTAAAAAATTAAACTTCTTTTCATAAAAAATGCATAGCATCTTATTATTATACATTTCATTAGATAATATTTTCTTTAACAAATTAGGAGTGCATTTTGTAAACATGCAATAAAGAATAATGACATTCATGAAAAATATGTATCATCTAATCATTACAATTCGTATTTGAGGATATTTTCATAAACAACCTAAGATTGTTTTTGGCAAACTGCAGTAGAAAAAATAAATAATGTTGTATACAATAATTGATTATATTTTCTCTGCCAATATTTATATATTTGTGTTCTCTAGTCCTGCTGTTAAGTATGAAACAAAATTATGCATCAACCTATTAGTTCACTTAACAATCTCAAACATTCCAGTTAGAACCCTTCTAACTCTACTTTTTCAAGATAGAATGATTTCAAAAATCTCAACTAATCTCTAATGACCTTCCCATCCAGTTATCATTCTAATAACCATTCTTTGAATTATTTCAAACAGTTAAATGTCCTTATTAAGCTAAGAAGCTCAAGACTAAACACAATACTCTAAGTGTGGCCTAACCAATGATGTGTACAATAAAAATTATAACTTTTTGTAGACTTGTATTCATTATTTCTGTTGATAAGACCTAAAATCCTCTTTACCCTACCACTACCAACAGCACACTGCTTGGATAACTTAAGAGACTGATCAACCAGAATACCAACATCCATTTCTTCCATAAACTTTTAAGGTTATCCTCATCAAAATTATACTTGTAATTCAAATCATGATAAGTTGATAATCCACATGTATTACCTTGTATTATATTATAATTAAAAGCCATCTTCCATTTATTCACCCAACTTGCCAATTGATGTAAATCCTTTTTTAAAGCAGCAACATCTTTCTCACAGCCAGAAACACCCAAGACCTTAATGTTAACTAGAAATTTAAGTAATTTATTGACCATTCCTTAATCTATGTTATTGGTGTAAATCAAAAAGAGCAAATGTCCTAACACTAAGCCTCGAGGTACTTTATTTGTGACAATAATCCAGCTTGACTGAATTTCATCCATAACAACTTTCTGATTTCTTCCATCTGGCCACTTTTATATCCAGTGAGCCAACTTATTCTTCACATTTATAAAGATCTTGTTTTTTTAACAAGTCTTTCATATGACATCTTGTCAAATGGTTTCTAAAAATCCAAATACACCAAATCCATACCCTTACCCTCATCTAAATAAGCAGCAACCTCTTCAAAAAAATGTGAAAAGATTAGTAAGAAAAGATTTTCCCCAAATGAAACAATGTTGACTATTCAACAAAATTTTAAACTTTGTTAAAAGACTTAGCAAAGCATATTTTATAATACTTTTGAAAACTTTTCCACCACTCATGTGAGACTAATAGGCCTATAAAAGTATAATTAATGGAACAGTTTTTATCACCTACCTTAAAAAAAAAGATGTAACATAAATCAACTTCCAATCCTCTAGCACCAACCTGCTGTTCAAGACTTGCAAAAAATAGTAGTAAGTGGCTGACATATCCAATCCTTAACTGCTTTCAAAACCAATGGCGAAATATTTGACCCAGAAGCCTGATTGGCCTTTAAGTGTATTAATAAGCTCAGAATTATTATGATAATCCTGTTTGATCTTGTTTCCATCTAGTAAATGTTTAGGACGAGGAATATTGTTTAATTTTTATTAGTTAATAATTGAAGAAAAAGTAGAACTTAATAACCAAACCATCTCATAATCATTGGATATAAGTCTTCTTTATAATCTGCCAGACCCTAATCTCATCCTAACATTTTGCTTCCCTGAATGTATTTAAGGAAACAGTGTTAATTTTTGCATTTTCAGCCAGTGTTTTTCATATACTGTTATTAATTTCGTAATCTCCTGTTTGACCAATTTTCCTGGTCTACTATGATACTCTTAAGTCTCTTATCAAAGCAGTCAATTTAAACTTCTTAAATTTACAATTATTCTATTTTATCCCTTATAATCTTTGTTAACTAACTTGATTTTTTACTTGCAGCCTCACTTTTTTTATATATATAGAACATGCCTATCTTGAATATTTAGAAACATTTTCCAAAATTCATCTGTGTTTCTAATTCATTCAGTTGTCAAATTCACAAGAGATAATTCTTGTTACACTTTTTGAAATTTGCTCTTTTGAAACTTGTAACCAAAATCTCATTATTTCTCATCTCCATATGTAGTAAAACATCAACAGTAATTGAGCAATGATCAGTTGCTTTCAGATATTCCCCAGTCTCCATCTTCTCAACTGTATCTACATTAGAACAATAAATGTAAAATAGCACTGTTTATTGTAGGTTGTCTGACCAATTGGGGAAAACATTCCATCATAAACAGTTTTTAAAAACATCTCTCCTTCATGGTTTGACTAATGTTTTCTCTTCTGTTATGCTTAAAATTAAAATCCTCATTAACAGTTGGAATTGTAACATTCATAGTTTTTCATTAAATTCCTCAGTTTCATCTGGTGGTTTGTAGCAAATTACCACTGAAAATGTTTTCTCCTTTTAACTCTGTGATTACTATGAGAAACACAAATAGATTCAATCTTTTTTGCTATTATCTTTGATATATTTAACTTCAACAGGATGTAATTCATATTTTATATATAAAGCCACTCCTACCTCTCATTTTAGCATTTACCTAATAACCTATAACCCTGTATTTTAAAGTAATTTCTATTATCAAAATTGTGCCAACATTTAACCAAGTTTAAGCTATGTCCATTATATCAGAATCCTTCATTTTGACTGGTGATTTAAAGTCATCTATTTTATTTCTTATGCTTCTAGCATTACAATAGTAAAAATTTAGCCTACACTTAAACTACTTCTGTACTTTGTTCTTACATATACACTTTTCTGTCTCTTATTTTTTCTGTATTTAACTTATCGTGGCCTCATCACTATCTAGTCTTAGTTTAAAGCTACCCTCACAGTGGAATTAATAGCCTTTGCAAACAATAACAAATCAGTGTTTTTCTTCCTTAGCATTTCTATAGGCTTTTATACTTTGTAATTTATAAGCATAAGTTTGCAAACAACATTAACTGCATAACTCAAATATAAAAATGAACTTGTACAAAGTAATTCATTATGCATGGTAGCTAATACAGATCCAAATACTTTACTAATAAGACAAAACACAGAACTTTCATTAAGACATTCTACTCCCTCTAGCTAACATCTAAATTACAAAATTAAAAATGTAACTTATAATAATATTTAGGTGAGAATACAATATGTTTAGCATGTTTTATAATTTATTAATTATTTAAATTACAAGTAAAGTCAAGGTACACAAGGTAAGCTTAATCTGATATTGATAATACTTATACCACCAAGCTCTTATGTTAAACTTATATTAAAGTTTTTCTTCATTACCCATTCAAGCTGTCTCCAGCCATTATTAGTCTCAAAGTGGGTTCCTCATCATCGAATTTAACTTAATAAGTTTAATCCTACTAATAGTATGTACAAATCTTATTAAATCAACTTATTATTATTATTCTGAGTTTTCTGACTTTGACTGGGTTTGAGGAAGAAAGAGGGAAACAAATGTACGAAACATAATGAAATAATCTTTATTCAAGCTCACAAACACAATCAAAATAAAGTATGTATAGGATGTTTTTACTTTTAGTTATCTATCTAAATTCTCTTCAGAACTTAAGGTGTTTAATAAGAATTAGCTAAAATTTAGGAAAGCATTACTATTTACAAAAAAAAAGACTGGTACTTTACTTACCAAACTGAGGCCTTGAGCTTGAGAGAGAGAGAGAGCTTATTAAGAGATCATGGTTGTATTGATTTTTAAACGAGACCCAAAACTCGAGTGCTTTTGAATAGTTCACTATTCTTCTTTATTCTCCTGAAGAAGAATAGTGAACTATTCGAAAGTGCACAAGT